AATACATATAATTACTCAATAAATTATTTATTTTTTTTTTTTTTTTTTTTTTTTTTTTTTTTTGTTTTTTTTTTTTTTTTTTTTTTTTTTTTTTTTTTTTTCTTTTTTTTTTTCAGATCGACTTAAGTTATCTGTGACAACACTGCTATGGAAATTATTTTAACATGAGTGTAAATTTTACTTTTGTTCTCTTACCTTCTGTAGGTTAATGGTGCATGATGGATTTCTGATCACCCCTAGGAAAAGAAACTCCTGTTATATTGACTGCTTTGTTCTGAATGCACAATAAATTTACATATTTTTATATACCAAAGGCCTTGTTATATTTTTACACTGGGGATAGCTTGGTTTATTTTTACACAGGTACCTGTGACAGAAGTTGTCCGAAAGGTGGTAAGGACAAAGGTCCAAAGCTGATGGATGTACACGCTTCCCTCGGCTCAGTGGGACTTATAACTCCCAATTATTATTCAATCAAAAGTCAAATGTTGCATTGATTTTTGATGAGTCCAAAGTTGGAAATCTGTGAAATGGCTGTTTATCTCAGCACAAGCTGCCGACCTAAAACGGTTTGCATTAGTGTGGTAAAACCTTTTTATATGAATATAGGGAGCATACTTTCATAGACTTGGGGTACAGACATGGATTTGGGTTTAATGGGGAAAATATTGGGTCATCTCAAAGTTTTTTTTTTTTTTTAACTTTGAAACCCTTAAATTCAATGAATTTTAGAATTATGATAGTTGGTTTTCAGCTTCACAACTGAATTACAAAAAAATATATCCTCACATTGACATTAAGCAAAGAATTTAAATGAGTAATTTGTAGATGTAAAGTGTTTCGAATACCATTTATAATTGCTTTATTTGGCAATTGATGTATTAATGAAATCAAACTCATCCATGCAGCCAACCCCTTTGTGCCCTCAGGCTGTAAAACATTGACATTAAAAATCGGGTTGCATAATGTAAACCAGATGATCAGGCTGTGCAGCATACCTTATGAAATAGTATGTTTCAAATGGTACATAAAAGGACAAGACTTGAG